AAATGAACTTTAAATATTTTAAATTGCATAAAGATAAATACAGTGGACTACTTGCTAATTGAGAGCATTCTGGGGACTTGCTCACTTGAGTAACACAACATTGCTACACATGAATAGTTGGAACAGAGCTGCAGATGGACTCCATCTTTTGGCCAATATTGGGTTGATTGAGACTTTTAGATACGTCAGCCATAATGAATGAGTTAAATTCCTCTCCTTTGTAGCTTTTTGTTACTGCTATTTATTTATATACGTATTTACTTAAATCGTAGCTACAGTTAGAAAAAGTTTCCTGGGATTAGGAAGTGTAATTATTTAGGCAGCAAACAAAGAGTTGTTTTAGAAATTTTAGTATCATTAGGAGGAAGTTTAAAAAGACTGGAATCCCATTGTCTCGTAAGAAGTAAGAAATATTTATTGATTCCCAAATGGAGCTGAAAAAAAGCCTTTCCTCTTTTAGAAAGTTGTGAATGACCCAGCGAGAGCTCTAGTAAGCTTTACTGAACCAAGCTGCTAATAGTTATTTAATGTTATTCTTCAGTGTGAAAGAATCTCCGTAGATTTTCCTTTTAATCTCTTTGAATTGCAGGCTCATAAACCTCTCTGATGAGTCCTGCCAGTGTTTTCTTAGATCCCACTGTAGAGACAATGGAGCCACAGAATTCTTTCACCTCTTGTTGTCAGACAAATCCAATAGAACGCAGGGTCAGAAGGGCCTATACTTCTGAAGGTTTAAAGATTCTTTCTCAAGTAACCACATACATTATTTGATTTTAATCATCATATTTCTCAGGAATCTCTCTTTAACTATAGTGCATTGCTTCCTATATGTAAATAAATTTGGAAATTTCCCCCCCATGTTTGGTTAAGCATGTCAGCATTGCACAGGGTGTGAACAGACCTTTAATGTTCCTAGATACCTTAGAAAAAGCTGAATCTGTTCACTTCAGAAGAATTAGGAATCATATGATGTCATTGGTCTCAAGATAGAGTATGCCAAATGCCAGACAGTGCATTTTCTTTTCAATGGCTGGTGTGTGTTTTTTGTTTTGTGGGGTGTGTGTGTGTGTGTGTGTTTTATTACCACTCTGTAGCTAAGATTCCAGATTTAAATCTAACCTCTGTTCCTTTAAGTCACTTTCTAAGTCAGTTTATGTTTTCTTAACATTTTTAGTAGTGTCATGTTAACAGGAGAACTTTGAGATAGGATTTATATTTTCAGATTTAAAATATTTCATTGTAACAAGGAAAAATTTTTATAATATGTAACAGTCAAAAGAAAACAAATTTATCTGTATTGCAGATGCTTTGCATGACAGAGTTATCAAAGCTAATTACAGGGTTTCTGTGAGTTAAGGGCTAAGGATAAGTTAAATTTTCTAATTATAACTCCAGTGGTGGACAAGCAGAGATCATTGTTTAAAAAGGAAAAAAAAAAAATGGGTATCCAAGATGGCAGCAGAGTAAGTAGAAGCTACACTCACTTCCTCCCAGGACTAAACAGGAATTACAATTAAAATATAGAGCAATGCCGGGCCGGGCGTGGCTCAGCGGTTGAGCGTCAACCTAGGATCCAGGCGATCGGGGTTCGATTCCCGGTCAGGGCACATGCCTGGGTTGCGGGCTTGATCGATGACTCTCTCATCGTTGATGTTTCCATCTCTCTCTCTCCCTCCCCTTTCCTCTCTCTGAAATCAATAAAGATATATTTAAAATATATATATAGACAGAGAGAGAGAGAGAGAGAGAGAGAGCGCGCGCAATCAACCTGAATAACCAACTGAAGACTAAACAGAAATCTTATAACCAAAGATTTACAGAAGAAGCCACATTGAGACTGATAGGAAGGTTGAGCAAAAGGACTGGCCCCGCTCCCAGGGGTGGCAGCTGAGATTCCAGAGGGATGTCTCAGCTGCAAATGCTCCCCCTGAGGAGACTGGGGTCTCAACTCCAAGCCAGGCTCCCCCGCTCAGAGCACCAGAGTGGAGAAGAGACACCCATGTAATACTTGGCTTTGAAAATTGGTGAGGATTCTGTCTACCAGGGAGAGACAGGAGTCTGCTAGAAACACAGGTGCTCTCTTGGAGGGCCAACACGCAAAATCTCATTTGCAACCACTCACCCTGGGCTCCTCGGAGAGAGGGTGGAGTGGACTAGAGTTGCATGAGGAGAGAGGGGTTTGTGGCCCTGGGGAGGGAGTAGAAGGGACAGCCGCCAGGATCCCTGAGCTGAGTTCTTTTCTCACACTGCAGATGCCATCTTTCCTGGGTGTAGCACGCTCCATATGGCATCAGACTAGGGGAATGCATAGCCCCACCTGCTTGACTCCCTGTCACCCCACCCTGTGGAGCTTGTGCCCTGCTGAGAAATCAGCTGCCTGGGCTGGGGTGTAGAGGTCTGGGCAGACTAGGGGGTTGTCTATGACTGAGTGGTGTGGCTTTGGGGTGGGGGCCATTCCTTCTTCTTTCCCCCTAACCTGACTGATGCTTCCCCCTCACTAGTGCCTCCCCCTCACAGGAGATCCGCCAACCCCACTCTCCAGGCTTCCTGTGGCCCCACCCTCCCAACTTCTGGTGGCTCTGCCCTGCCTAGGTCTGGGCAGAATTCAGTATGGACTCAATTTTGTGGCTCTGGGGAAAGGGCCAATACCTCCACCTTCCCCCAAGCCTGACTGGCATCTCCCCCTCACTGGAGATCCACTAGCCCCATTCTTCCAACTCCTCGCGGCCCTGTCCAGCTGGAATTGGGCTCCTGGTAGAATTTGAGTCTGAGTTATGTGGCTCTAGGATGAGGGCCATTTTTCTCTTGCACACCTGACCAGTATAGAGCCCTACCTTCTTCATTCAGCCAAATCTTGGTCTGTTTGGGCCTGATAAACTGCTGGCTTCACCCTGATGACTCCCTGAGTCCCCGCCTCACCACAGAGGTGTGTGGGCACCCAGCGGGTGGCAGCTAGACTGGGCATACCTTGTAACATTTGCTGAGTCGCCTCAGACTCATTACTGGCAACGAGGTTGAGCCTGTATCAGTCTGGTAAACACCACTCTCCGCTACCTGGTCACTCACTGAGAAACCTACTTCATGCAACTCAAGTACCACCAAAGGCTCCTTCAGTGACAGAGCCTAACAGGCAGCCTGCAGCAGGCAGAGGCAGGCGGAGGCGGATCTCGGGGTGCCTTGGGACTTTAGCTGAGCTGTCCCCAGGCCCGGGGCTGGTAAAAGCTGGTCTTGGTGCTCAGCTTGGTTCTTCGTGCAAACACCAGCAGGTCCAAGCTATGGATTGCTTTGTAGTTCCAAACAGGTTGCCCAGGGCTAGTCACAGGCAGCATCTGACCTTGGCCTGGACCAGTGTCCCTCCCAAGGGACTCCAGAACAAACAGGCTGAGTGGCCAGCTTTTGTTCAGAAGTTACTTAGCATATTGATACACTCTGCATAAGCTATTCAGTGGGCACACAGAGATGGAGGAAGTACCCCTGACCACTAGGCAAAGTCTATGTCTTTTAGGGATAGTTTAATAGTGTTGGTACCTAATAAATACAAAGTGATACAATATTTGACAAACCTAATAGAAAACCACAGTGAGTTCAAAATATTGTATAATCTTTTTATCCATTTTTAAATTGTATAACTCACCAATAAATTTTGAACAGGCAGTTATTAAATATAATTAAATCGCAGGCATTCACACAACAGAACAAAGGGAAGCATTTTCAGCAAGTGAACAAGAGACTAGGGAGACAGCTAAAGAAAATTTCATTGGGGTGGGGGTGGATTTTAGTCATTTATTTTAAGCATTTACTTTTAGGATGATACTAGCATACAGGAACTATATGACATGCTTTTAAAAACAAAGACAAGTGCTTCTCATCTTTAGTTGCTTTCTTTGCCCAAAAATATACTTATTGTAAGCAAGAGTACATGCTTTTACTACCTGACCATACTCTTACTAAATTTAGTTGGAATTCCAGGGTTCTTCCACCTATAGGGAAAACTTTGGCCCAGGAAACGGCAATAGAACTTCAACACAATACAGTTGTGTTTTATGGTTATTGAAATATTTTAAAGAAATCCTCCCTATAAATTGCCTGTTAATTACTCTGTTGCAAACAAATAAAAATCAGGTGACTAATAGCCCCTTAGATGCTGGTAGAGCTTTATTCTTTAAAGTGCTTTTAGTTGGATCTGATTTTATTGGTAAAACACCCTTGTGTTAGTCTGTCCCATGTTCCATAACTAAATTCCATTGAGTAGATGGCTTAAGCAACAGAAATGTGTTTCTCACAGCTCTGGAGGCTAGGAAGTCCAAGATCAACGTGCGAGTTGACAGGATCCCTGATCAGGTCTTGTCCTGGCTTGCAGCCAGCCTACTGCTAGCTGTGTCCTATGATACTTTCTTCTGTGCATGCACATGGAGAGAAACCTCTCTTCCTCCTATAAGGCTACCTTATTCAACTCCTAAAATCCTTATCTCTATAGTCACATTGGGGTTAGGGCTTCAGCATATGAATTTGGGGGGTTGTCATAATTCAGTCCATAGCAACCCAACTTCTGAAGTAGATAGGATAGAGATAACTCGATATACCCAAGGTAGAAAGCTACTAAAATACTAGAACTAAGAATCAAATACAGTACTTTTTACTCAGCTGCACGCTGCCTTCCTTAGTTCCTATGGTTTATCTGACACACAAAAATTACCCCATCTCTCACAAAACAGAAGTCACTAATTGACTACAAGGAATCATCAAAATCATCTTCATGGTTTTTGCATGTTGCATATTTGTAAAAAGTGGGATGGATTTTGGTTTGTAAGAGGTAGACTTTGGAATTTTTAGTCATCTGAAGTCAGATAGCTTTAAAACTGCTATCAAAAGTAGTAAGCTAAGTTTTAAAATGGTAAGTTAGTAAGAATTATACCAACCTGGCTGGAGTTGTCTTTTCAGCACTCTTCATGGTTATGATTAAAGTATCAAAATTAATTGTCTCATTTTATATTTTACAGAAGATGATCTAAGAAATATGGGACCAGTAGATGCTCAAGTATATCTTGAAGAAATGTCTTGGAACAAAGGTTGGATTTTTTTTTCTCTTGACAACAAAGGAAAAGATTAGGGATTTTCTGTAAGAAAAAAAAAACTATCCTAGGATATTTGGAATCTTAAAAAGAAACAATAGCTTGGCTTTTGATATATATGTGGGTGTTTTTGTCTGGAATATTTTTATTCCATTCTAAACTTCAATTATGGATGTCCCACTATATGACTCATTTCTGATTATTTTTTTGTTTTAATTAGATGTTAGGTACATAGGACTTCATAAGGTTTTCTTTTTTTAAACTACTTTGGTTTTTGGTTTACTCTCCATCTGAGTAATAGGGAAAATAAATTTAAAGATAATTTTTCCCATCCTTCCTATATTGACATTCAAGATGAATTCCCATTAGGATGTTTGTTTATGTGGAAGCATAAACTGTTAGGGCAGTCCTTTCAATGCTATATTCTCCTACTTGGAGCTAGTTTTACACTCACTTCTAGATTGTGTCTTAGGTGAAAAATAAAAATCTGTCACTCCCTTTTACTCACCATGAAGTCATGTCTTTTCAACTTTCCTATTACTAGAATTTTAACACCTAAATCTAATTTCTCCACTCTTAATAGTTGTGTGAATTGCTCGGGTGAGATGTGGTAAGTTCCTTTTCTAAATGGAAGCCTTGAATACCACACTTCCATGTTTCTCTGGTCAAATGAATAAAATCTTACTATTTCTAGAATTTTTATATACTTTTAACCCTATTACTTTATTGTTCAGCCTGGGGTACAGATTCCCTAGGACTTTATAAAAATTTACTAGTGAGTGTGAATACATAGATCAACAGCCCATCCTTCCAGAAACCAAGTTTAATGAAATATTTTTTAACAGCAAATTCTTCACTTAGTGCACTTAGGAAATTGGGTCACAAGCTATGTTGACTTAGACGGGGGATCATTTTCTGCCTATGGGCCACTCTTTTCCTAAAGTGCCAAGTAAAATCCTGGAGTAGAAATTCTTATTTGCAGTGAATGATTGGAAGATGAGGTTTTGTGTTACTGGGGCTCCCAGGGTTGACATAGTTTCATCGCATAAACTGGGAGAGCTACTGGTGTGAAAACAGAATACACTAGTGACCTAGGCTTGCACTGCGAGATCATGAGGGGCAGACCGGAGCATGCCACTGATCAGGGAGACCTGGCCAGCTAAATGAATCTCTTGAAAATATAGTATTGCTACCTTATCCATCAGTGTGTGTGTGTATGTATGTGTGTTTAATCTCCTATTAGACAAATTAGTTCTTGCTGTACTTGATGTGACTAGTGTATTTTGTTTACAGTTCCTGATAATGTGAAAATAGTGAAAACTGGGTTTTGTAGTTTTTCCTTCTTCAGTAACATTTAAAATATGTAATTAATAATTAAGATTTTTTAAAATTAAGACTATGGATTGGGTATTCAAGCATCTTAGTCAAAAAATACATGAGCTTTCTGATACAAGTGAAAATGCTAAGAAATGGAAGGAAGTGTACAATGTGAAATCATCAAGCGGGACCGGAAATGTGTTACTATCCTTGAGACTTCCTAAAGTAAACCTGACAGTGAAGATACAGAGGAGTCCCAGCCACAGCCACCGAATCGGCCATAAGCCACTACCATTAATCTGAAAACTATAGGATGTCCTTAGGTGCTTATTTAAATGAAGGGTTTTTAAATAATTGCAAAGATTGAAATAGTTCTTACCCTTTGGGAGAGAAAATAACAGCAACAGCTGCATGAAGCCTTTATTTTTGCAGGAATATTTAAAAACTAGCCATGTGAGTTTTGCAATTTTGAGGGGTTTTTTGCAGTTGAAAAAAGCATTCTTGGCAGATGAAGTTAAGTAAATTGGGGATCAACTGGGCAAGTAAAAAAGTGAAGATTTTGTCATAGTCACTTTCAGAATAGCCTTGGAAGGTGAAGATTTAACACAGAAGAGTGGATGAAACACTGCATGATATACATGCCAAATGAGCCGCTTGATCCAAGGAGTCTGAAATGAGGCACTTTATTTATCATGCTCAGCAGGCACACCTGAAGAACTGAGAGACTAACATGTTAACCTTTCCCCTCCCGGTTAATCTCATATACAACTTGTCATTTTGTCTTCATTTGTTATATTTAAAATGATGGTCTCTGTGGCGATATCACTTTGTTAAGTGATAAAAGAATAGTATAAGAAGAAATCTGACAAGATGTGAGTTTTTTGTGAGCATTAACATTTGGAATCATCTATGACAAAACCCCACAGTAGCCCATGGTGGCCTTCACATGATCTACTGAGCACATGTCACCTCAAATTGTTTCTCATTGTTCACTGAGGTGGTAAAAAAACAAGAAGGAAATGTAGCTTAAGAAAACCAATGGCTAGAATATGTACATTTTTACACAATTTAGTAATAAAACAATTCACTATGAAAGCATGCTCCATTACATATGTATGTTGGCTCAGACAGGGGAGATGTTCGCATTTTTCAATTCAAGATTAAATTATAATTTCCTTATGGAGGAATAAGGCATTGTGGTAAAAAATAAAAAGCAGGATTGGGTGAATGAAGCCATGTTTTCCTTAATGATAAAATAAATACATAAAATTGGTTCATTTGATTGCTAGTTTTCTAAGGCCAAACTTGATTAGAGAACAAAAACAAGGCAGCTAGATTTTTCTTTCCTTTTCTTTATCTAACTGCTAAAGAATGAAATTTGAGAACTGAATGAAGATACCTGATTGTAAAAAATCGTATCTTGAGGCTTAGTTCATTTATCTATATAACAAATTATGACAATAGTAAAACAATGTGATCAATAATTATGTTTGACAGTCACTTCTTAGGGACAGTAAAATTGAATGACCAGTAAATTAGGAATTCTTTTAGTACAAGGACACAAGCATTTCAACTTCTCAGGAAAATGACAGGCTTGATAAGATTTCCACCATTAGGCTAAACGTCACACCTTGTTGCCTCCTTTGGGCATCTCACTTCAGTGACTGCCCTTTGGTTCACAGATCATTTGTAAACACCAAACAGGCAGACACACAGGAAAAAGCACCAAATGTGTTTATATACCTGAGTCAGGATTCTTGAAATAGTGATACCAGAAGAGATTCAAGAAAGGGAGGGTTGTTTTCTTCCTTTACAGAAATAGTTTGGACAAACACACTGAGAAGAATGTGAAATTTATGTGAATCTTAAGAAAACAGAAGACTTCAAATAAATTTCCTGGGTTGCTTCTGACCATCTGCTGTCCACCCAAGATCTTTGGATTGATTTATAGCTTGTCCATCTCCTCTACAGATAAAGATTCTTTGATAATTTTTAGAAACGCTGCCCCTATATAAGAAATATTTTCAAGTTCTCATTTAGAACATTTTTTATTTACTGAGGCGCTTTTGTTTTGCAATTTCTGTTGAATAAACTGCATTGTGTGTATGTGTGGTATTATCAGTGTAGTTACTTGTAAGCGTCTGAAGCATTTTTTTTGTTTTCTCTGCAGATGATCACTCTTTCTCTCTGAGTTGCCGTTGTGGTGGGAAATACAGTGTTTCTGAGGATGAAGCAAAAGAAGTTACCCTGATTTCTTGTGACACATGCTCACTAATTATAGAACTCCTTCACTGCAGCTGAAATTGTTCACTAAGTGGGATCCGTTAACTGTAGACATATTGAAGAGAGTCCATTCCAACTTTGTCAATTCAAGCAACTGTATAAAGCTGATAAAAAAAATTTAAAAAAGAGGTAGGATTCTTTTTTTTGTCAGCTCTACTATTTGCAAAGAAAATATAAGCTTGTCAAGAAAAGTCTATCCTGGATTAATAGAAAATTAATTTAGCTCTTTATACATGTTTATAACTTAGATTGCCATAAAAAGGGACTTCAATTATGACTTATATTTAGCAAATTCCTATTTGAGAACTTTAATTGATTTGTTTCTTCAAATAAGCATCTTTTAATATGTCACAATATCATATTTCTTTACAGTTCCTAAGTTTCTGAGGTAATAGATGATATTTCGAGCTGTCAAAGATACAGGCCTATTGTAAAACTGTCTCAAAATCTCAGGTCACTGGAGTTAAATTAGGATCTTTGTGACTAGATGAGAGCCCAGCTCTCTCATCATGAAGGCCGAATATGGAGATTCATGGTTAGCTGAGAGTCAGGAGGGTGTAGGAAGGATAGCTTTGGAGCCGGAGCCGTCACGCTGGCCTTCAGTCCTGGCGCTGTATTCCAGCCCTTCACGTGGTTGTATCAAAGCTTGCAAGTTCCTTGAACGTGGCCATCTTCAACTTGAAGTATAACTTAGGAAATGGTAGCTCTAGAAACACATGGTTTGAAACAGGGGCCTTACTTTCCTTTTTATCTCAGACTACTGAGATACAGCATTAATGTCTGTACTTAGGAGTAAGGAACCATTGTACTGCTGGTGTGGTGAAATGGACTTTTATAACAATGTATGATTATTGATTATAGTAGATTGTAAAGATTTTCTTTTTCTATATATTTAATATTCTATATATAGTATGTCAGAAATCATTTAAAAAATTGATTTGAAAAGGAATCCTTTATGGATTGGATCACTGAAACTTTCTTAACTTCAAATGAGTGAGCCACGCTTGTGACTTAGCAGCTTTCTCTTAGGTTGAACTCTGTATTTCTTCTTGGTTTGGACTTACAACACTAGTTTCTACTCTGACTTTGTAAATGCAGCTAAAGTATGAACATATTTGTGAGATTTTTTTCATTATACCTGTAAAACTAAAAATTCAAAAGTGAGGTTCTCATCCAGGTTTCCCCCTTAAATTATTTTTCACAAAATTTATATTATTTTGCATAATATAAGTAAAAAATAAAATTTTTCATAAAATTTATATTTTGCATTACTTTTATCCATATATTCTGACTTAATGAAGTTTGCAAGTTGTGTTACTTATTCTTTAACTTAACAATTAAAAATAACAAACTGAATAGCAAATAGTTTATTAGTAAGTGCATGGTTTCAGTGGCAATAACTTTAGTTGAACAGGAGACAGTAATCAAATCAAAAGAATAAATGCTGGCTAATCATCAGAAAATCTGTGGCCATTAGGGCTATCACGGAGAAATCCAAAGTCACTCAGAGGCCAAATCTGTAAAATCAACATTGATTGAAGACAATTAATGAAAGTGACGTCATACCCTCACCACACACCTTTTATTTCTGTCACCCCTTTCTCTGTGCTGTACAACTAACCACTTTCTCCTTACTCTTCGTTCAAGAACAGACTTCCTACAAGATGACTAGAAAGTGAATTTACATGTGACTATGTATTTAAACCCTAACATGGGTTTCAAATGCATGGGTCTACTTATATACAGGTTTTTTTCAATAAATGTACAGTTGGCCCTCCATATGCCCTGGTTTCACATCCACAGATTTAGTATTTTCTCTCCATGTTTGGGAACCTGTGGAAGCAGAGCGCCAACTCTATGCATTGTTCTGTGGGGTTTAAGGGACTTGAGCATCCACAGATTTTGGTATCTGGGTGGGGGGCGGGGGTTCCTGGAACAAAAATACTGGATACTATAGATAAGTTTGCGGGAGTTAAAATTTATATGTAGACTTACAACTGCATGGGGGGGGTCAGTGCCTCTACCCCTGTGTTGTTTAAGGGTCAACTGTATATATGTGAGAGCGTGTGTGTGTGTGTTTTCTCTTACTACCCTCAAAGTTAAATGTAAACCTAAGTACTCGAATATATGCTTAAGTGTAAAGAATCCTGCAAATTATCCTCAAGTGTTCATGTCTGTTTTTCTCCTTACTGATATGACAAAAAGGAGCCAGTGAAAACAATAATCTTTCCTAAGAATCATAAATTTACAACCATAAATCCACTCCTCACTATACTTAACTGGGATATCCCTGCATTGCAGATAGTTTGACTCTAGACTGCTCTTCCACAAATGCATATTAATATATTCCAAGGATATGAACAGTTCTAAAAGTTGTATGAGAGAGAAATTTTTGGAGATTCAAATTAAAGGTGTGTTACGCTACAACTAAGGTACTTAGAACTTTATTATTCAAACAAAAAATATTTTCAATTACCTGTTTCAATGGGAGGAAGGGGTGATGTTCATAGCTATGAAGGCCAACATTTCATAACTGTTATTACAACAGGTAAGCCCACTAACAGCCTGGAGAGTTCAAAGTTCATTTTGAAAGAAACTTTTTTTTGTCTTTTCCCCCAGCTCAGAGAAGAAAGCCTACATTTTAAGTAGAAAGCAGTACCTTAAAGAAGATACGTCCTCTTATTAGTCCATATGGAATAGGTCCATAGTATCTGGAATCTGTAGAGTTCTGTAGATTATCACCTTCTAACCAAACATGTCCCATTGGCACCTGGAATTAGAGAAGAAAGCAGCCCCTTTAAAAAAGAAAAAACAAATTTGGGTACTATAAATAAAAAATACGCCTTGTGCAAGTAGGGAAAACATCCCAAAGTTCTCTTTTATAAAATACATACAAACCCTATGATTTCATTTTTGCTTTTATTTATGCACAATAAAATAACTTACTAAATATTGGTAAGTAATATTAAGGTTTCAATTTTTTAAAATACTACCTTCTTTAAAATACATGCTTGCCACATGGTTCCCCAAAATTAATTTGTGACACAAACCCCAAACTGAGGTTATGAGAGATCAAAACAGTGTGACAGGGTCATTAATTTTATAGACTTCAAAAGAGGCCGTTAGGATGCTGACTAAAAATGTGCCCTCCTGTCTCAATAACAGCATAAGCAGGGTAGCCACTCATTCAGCAACGTCCTGGGGCCAATAGCAAGGCCAGACCTATTAGAATGCTCATGAAGAACTAAATGGTAATTGATTGTGACATCAATTACAAATAATCTCATCATTTTATTGGAGTGGGCTTGTCAGAATTCTAATTAAGATCCCTGTTCTGCCATTGTACAGGCCATATCTTCAATGCATTATACTTCAATAATGACCATCAAGAACTAGGAGGACCTATTACGAAACCATCAGTTGTAAAATTAATGACGGTGACCTACTAAATGAAAAGATCCTAGTTCCTATATGTCTTGTTTATTAACAGGTAAATAATGTAAGTTTACATTTTTACTCAATGACAATAAGTATATTTCGAACAGAACATGCTTTTTGTAAAAAAAGGCCCTTTGATATGAGACATTTGCCCATTAATATATTGTTCAACACAAATTTTTAAAAAAATTACTCTTCAGCAACAATCTTTTAGAGTTTTTGTTACCCAAGAAAGTTGAATTATTGACCAGTCCAAAATGATCTGCTGGGAAGGAATTTATTTTCACTGTTCTTTTGACTGGCTATTACTTGAGACCCTTATGTAAATAAAAGTATTCCTGTTGGGTTTAATAAGAAATGACTGTGATTTTTTTTAAATGTCACAAATTACTTTTCTAAGACTTCATTTTTTAGAGCAGTTTTAGGTTCACAGCACAATTAAGAGGAAGGTACAGAGGTTTCCCATCTACCCCCTGCTCCCCGCCATACATAGCCTCCCGTTATTGATGTTCCCCACCACAGTGGTGTATTTGTTGTACTTGGTGAACCTACACTAATCAGCAAAGTCCAAACTTTTTACATTAGCGTTCACTCCGGGTCTTGTACTTTCTATGGGTTTGGGCAAATGTATGACATGTATCCATCATCATGGTATCATACAGAGTGTTTTCACTGCCCTAAAAATCGTCCGGGAGCTATTTATTTCTCCCCTTGCCATTACCTTTTGGAAAAATAAATTTATACAAGTATGTACAACTTTAACTTCACTTTACATCAGAGATTACCTGATGTTGGAATGATATAACATGCAGAAATATCTGCCAAAAAAATGAATCAAGTTAATTATTTTCATTTAGATATACTTAAATTTCTCTATTTGTAGAGAAAGGACTTAAGTTTCTTAAAATAATATGAGATACTATAAGATACTATAAGATCACTCTCTTTTATTAGCATTACTAGTTGTAGGTTCTAAGGCCAAGAGTGAGGCTAGTTCCTCCCTATGTAAGTGCATTCATGTGCAGTGAAGCATAAGATTGCTCAGGTGGACAAATGGGTACATATCAGTTCATAAATGAAGAACAGAGTATCTGAAAAGCCACGTGTCATTAACGTTCTGAAGTACTGCCTTAGGAGAAGCCCCATTGTGAACATCTTTTGCTTTCAGATTTCCATAGTTTCTCCTTAATATGTGTTCCTAAGTTCTAAAAATGGGTAATATATATGAATAGTTAAATAAAATCATAAAGTTGGGGACACCAGTAAAAGCAAAAGAAAAACTTCTACAGGCTAATAGGCAACACTAAGAACTTCAGAAGCTCTAAAGCAGAGCTGGCACTCAGGTACCCGCCACGAAGGCTTGATGTTCTGGGTTCTCCCCTATGCTCTGGCTGTCAGAGTTCAGACCCTCAGCCGGGTGAGCTCTGGGAGCTGCTCGGCTGCCCACTAGCTGTTCTTTACCATGATCAACGTGTCACCTAGTCACCATAAAGGCACAATCTAGTAAGCACTCAGCCCCAAAGCCAAGACAATGTCTCGGGCAGGTGTCTAGACACGGTTCTGTATCTCCGCTCTCGCTGACGGGTGGTCCGTAAGTTCCACCCTCGTAAACCCCCCTCTCCCCCGCCTCGGCTGCCGGCTGAGCAAGCCCCCGTGCTGCCTGAAGTCTCCCCGGCTCGGGGAAGCTGCCTTGGGGCAGAGGCCGCCCCCGAGGGCCTGGGCCGCCGGCCGGGCTGTCAGCCGCGGCTTCGCACACGGCGGCCTCTACTCGTTCTTCCTGCGAAGGGCCGCTGCCAGAAAGGTTTAAATGACCTAATTGTAAAGTCTTTAATTACTTTCAGCATACTAACATGAAGAGAACCCTTTCTGGTGAAAGCTGAAAGTTTTGATGGAAGTAAGGTGTGCCTTTGGCATATCCACCTTGCCCCCTTCAGGGCCATCCCCTAGGTGACTCCGTCTCACCCTTTCCCATCAGAATCTTCGGGAAAGGTTTGCCAGACTCGGCCTGCCTGCGGTTACGCAGAAACGAGGAAGTTCACCGTGCTGTTACCTGTGTCTCAAAACTGGCAACGATGTAAATATTCCTCAGTAGGCAGAGGTTAAATAAAATAGTTTATTTCTATAATAGCTGGTTTAAAAAAAAACTAACAGATTTACATGAATATAGTCTTTGAAAAAAGTAAGTTTACAGGGTAATGTGCATAAATGTTCAAAGAACACCGTCAAAACTTTGTTTCAAAATTTACATTTTTGTAACCAGTATATATTAGACAATCACACACATACACACACACACACACACACACGTCTTGTACTTTTTATAAAGGGAACATTGTTAGGAAGAGGTTTGTGGAATTAAAAACATTTTTTTGTCTTTGGTAGTATGGAAAGAGAGGGGCCTAAGTTCCAATCCAGATAGCAGGCTAAGCTTTTTTGTATAGTACAATAAGTGACTGCAATTAGCAGTATTGTCACCAGATCACTAGGTAACTAAAATATTAGTTTAGCTAAGAACTCATTTATTTAAACAAGCAGAGTACAACACAATTTGGGTAGGGGTCTGAAACTTAAAACTTGGCCTTTCTGGTATGGAGTGAGGCAAGGAACACAACACAAATATCCTAACTTTGTTAGATTAACCAAGTTGCTATCACTAAATTGAAAATTCAAGCCA